CTGGTTTGGTTCTGTTTGGCTGTGACTCCATCATGGAGATAAATAGCTGTGCTGCTGCCATCAACACCTTCGGTTATAGATGTTTCTCTCCAAGAAGTGTTCTCCTTGACTAACTCTATGCCCTCTTTCATGCCTTTTGACGTTAAAACTGAGAGTTTCTCTGTTTAACCGTTTTTTTTTTCCCCAGACAGAGCCACCTGTGCTGATAGTTTACCTCTACTTTATCTAATATAGAAAGTATATTATAGATCAGTGCTTCTATGTTCCTTTTCTATGTCTGCGTCTGTCTCCTTGAACCCCAGTGGGCCTCAGCAGATGGCCGCTCACACTGAGCCTGGTTCTGATTGAAGTTTCTTCTTGTTAAAAGGTTTTTTTTTTCCTCTCCACTGTCGCTGCATGCTTGCTCAGTGTAAGGGATTGCTGAAGAGTCAACACCATGCAATCGCTGTCTCTACCTGCAGCACTTACACATCTCTGGACCACATCACTGAGCTGCTCCAGAGCCATCTCTGCTGTCCTCACGTGGGCAGAAACTTCATGAAGCAAAACCTTGAAAACAGAAAAGCGAGTCGCAGAGCGCGCGAGCTTCGATCCACAGGGAGCCGTTTAAAACAAACCCATGGCGGATTGATTTAAGGCGGACTATGAGCCAGTCCGGCTGCTTCTGGCGGATCTCAGCTTTTTACTGAAGCTAACTTAACAAACCTTCACCCAAAGCGCCGAGCTGCCTCCAAAATACCCGCTTAAAAATAAAAACTCTCACAATCTAAGCCACTTTCCAAATCCAACGTGAACAAGCGGATTGGTCGCGCCGGCTTCCGTACGCGAAGCTGAAGTTGGCCTCTGATTTGTAAAATGGCTAAAGGGCCATGATTCCACTTCCTGTTTCTTCAGATTTAGGGGCTTTTATTCAGCTCTTGCTTTAAAACTATTGTATTTTGACAGTTTAAATCCGGTCTACATCATTTTAAACTAATAGCAAAGTATTTAAAACTCATTTTTGTTGGATTTATCAAATCTTTATTTGACTTTTGGAATGTGGTTTTCTTTGTTTCGACCATGTTAGACCAGAACCAGCTCAAACTTATTACTTAGATGTTACAAACCTGGCCTACAATATTCTAAAACAATAGCAAAATCTTTAAAGCAAAGTTTAGGAATTTTAAAACCTTGATATAAACTGGAAGAGTTCAGTAAATTGTAATGTTGCTTCGATGCCATTTTTTGGCCCCGATACCTGGCTGTGCATTATTGGCCGATACCATCTGCTTGAAATTGATGTGTGTATCTATGAAGAACTGCAGACTACCTGGATGTAAAATAATCGCCATCATGGCTTCATGTCAAGCTGCTGCCTTCCTTTGTGAAGCAGGAAAAAGACTAAAACAAAGTGGATCCAGTAGAACTTTTTATTGCCTACCTGGAATGGGTGACAATAGTTGAAGAAACTTTTGGCTCTCAAAGGCCAAAATAGTGCAACATTCATAAAATTATAACATGTATAATAGTAGTGCAACAGTAAGACAGTAAAATTACATTAATAACTGAATATTTTTTTTAAACCTTGGATTTTGGCTCTCAAATGCCAAAATAGTGCAACTTTCATCAACTTATATAACATGTATATTACTAGTGCAACAGTAAAAAAGTGAAATTACATTAATAATGTAATAAACTCTTAAAAACCCTGGGTTCTGCCTCTCCAAATAGCATCGGTGCCCTATTTGTTGGTACTGGCAGATACTGAAACAACCATTTTAGTGCTGGATCGGGGCCCCGCCTGATACTGGTATCAGTGCAACACTAGTAAATAGCAAAGATAAAGTATGTTTCTGGTTTTATTTTTGTTCTTTTTCATTTGTGCCATGTTCAACCAGACCCAGCTGAGAAACCCAGCAGCTCAAACCTGAACCAAATTATTCTACATTTAATCTCTAAAACACATTTTGCCATTTTAAAAGATGCATCTGATTTGTCCAATAAAAGTCCAAAAAGTTCCTTTTTTCTCCATTTAGACCGACCCAATTCAAACTTTAATTAGATTTTTCCAGACTAATTGCATAGAGTCTTTAAAACAGATTATGGTTTGTGAAAGCTCCAGGTTTGAACCGTCGAACTATAATTTTAGGGCTTGGTCAGTTTTAACGAGGCCCACATGCAAAAAAAAAAAAAAAAAAGATGCCTTTTGTGCTTTTAGAGAACTTCCACAAATCAGATAAATCTTTTACAGATCCCAAACTGTATCTAAAAGATTATACTATAAACTTAGTAATAATTTAGTCCAGTTTTCACGTGTAAGTATTTTTGTTTTTGAGTTGGGTCATTTCTAACGTGGTCCAAACATGGTTTAAAAAAAAACACTTTTGGAGCTTCTGATGAATTTTCACAAAACATAAAAAGATTTCATAAATTTCAAACTATGTTTTAAATATTAAAAGAAAGTAGAATAATCTCGTCCAGGTTTGAATTGTAAATGCACGATAGTTTTTGAGCAATAACAGATTGAAAACGCAAAAGCTGAAGGAAAAAAGGTGGAATTGCCCTTTAGCCGGTTTTTCTACCAATCGGAAGCCAACTTCAGCTTCGTTTGGCGCACAGCGATGTCGTCACGGGTCAAAGTTGAACCGGAGAGAAAACGGAAACAGCATGGAGGCTGATGAGAGAAGGAGGAGAAGAGGTTCTGCTCAAAGCTCTAAAAAAGGTTTAAAATTGAGTCTGTTTTCCGGACGGCAGCTGGTATCAAGCTAGCAGGAGGTTTTCCGCCTGTTTGCTGCTGACCGCCTGTTTCTTGTCCGGCTGTTTAAAGCCCAAACATTACCAATAGATTCTCAGCAGCCAGTTTTATGTTATTTATCTGCTACTTAAAGCAAGACAGACTAAAAGAAACGTTAAGGTTTCTCGATATAGAGTTAGTCTGTTTGTTTTTTAAAACGTATTTTACTTCAAATCAAATATATCCTAAAAAGAATCTTTCTTTGGTTTTTAGTGACATCACAAAGTTTAAAGCACCTGATCGTTTTTTTTTTTGTAGCAGTAATTTGTGTTTTTGGTTTTTATGTTTCTATAATTCTAAGTTTTGATCATAATCCTCCGTTAAGCTGCAGATTTCAGCTGAATAACGTTAATCTGTGGTGTTGAGTAGCGGTGCGTTCAATGGATCGGTAAAAAGCTCGGATATGGGAACTGCTTTCATCCACTTTAAATGTGTTAGCAGGTTGGAAAAGAGAGAGATTTGCTGAGGAATGAATCACCAGACAGTCTGTTCATGTATTTTTGTTATTTTTCTTCGTTTCAACCAATGGCTCCAAACTTTGCCAATGATGAGCTGGAGGAGTTCAAGGGTCACAGAATTTATAAAATTACAATGGGAGCCTTTTATTCAAAAAAAGTGTATATATGTGTATCTATATATGTTTGTGTGTATATATATATATATATATATATANCTTCGTTTCAACCAGTGGCTCCAAACTTTGCCAATGATGAGCTGGAGGAGTTCAAGGGTCACAGAATTTATAAAATTACAATGGGAGCCTTTTATGCATATATAATATATATACACATATACATATATATTTGTGTGTATATATATATATATATATATGTTTGTGTGTATATATATATATATATATATATATATATATATATAGTATTTAGACATATTAAGTTAGGAAGGATTGTTTAAAAGGACACAAAGAGCGTCTGTTGCTCGGCTTGTTGTCATCGAACCTCATAAACCCAGAGTTTATTTCTTCTTGTAAACGTATCTTTCTATTCTGCTTTATCATCCAGCTGTGTTTGCCTGGTCAGAGCATAGAGGGAGGTAACTTTAACACTTGCTCTGTGTTTTCTTTTTCTTTTAGGTGGAAAATGCGTCAAAATACGGACTGCCGAAGAAGAAGCAAGAAGGTGAGGAAACCGTTTACAGCAGTGAACCATTTTGAGGTTGTTTTTTAATTTCTTTTTGCCGTAATATTATATTAAAGTGTGCGGTTTGTTTCTCAGGAGAGAGGAGATGAAGGAGAGGCTGAGGGAGAGGCTGGAGGTGGAGCGGAGAGCCCTGAAGGTGGTGGAGCGCCTCCTGGAGGACAGCGTGGCTGAAGACTTCCTGGTTGACTGCGTATGTAGCTGACATGATGCTGCTGGATCTCATTCAGCATCCGGAACATTCTGTTCTTTTAAAACACAGATTCACAGTAAAAAGCATCACAGCAAACTGAGATACTAATAATAATAATGACCGCATTTATAAAGTGCTTAAAAATCAGGATATAAATGAACAAAGGTATAGAGGAGGATCTTTAGTTTCCAGGTGGATCATCTCAATCAGTGGTCCTCCTAACTGTCAATCATTCTGGTGATATGTTTACGTAAGGCCGTCCTACGTGCTAGCCCCATTAGCGATCTTTTTCTGCGCACTTTCAGGCGTGTATCTGTGGAAAGCTACGGTTTCAGACGGTCACTGAATCTCACCTTTCTCACAGCGGTTCTTTAAAAATGGCCGAAGGTCAAAAGAGAAAAAGTGTCTACGAAGTTTATGAGAAGAAAGGAAAGGCCTCAGAAGAGGCAGATATATCCCAGAATGCTTTGTGTGGAGACCTCTCCTCGCAAAGCATTATGGGATTTGCTGTCACAGCGGCCTGCTGCTGCAATAGGCTGTCATTACCCGACAGCAGCAGCGACAGATAACAAAGATCCTCCTCCTCCACCGCGCGGTGGTAACTTAAGAAACAAGACGAGCAAAGAAAATCTGAGTAGAATAGAAACTAACAAGCAATGTATACAGAAAAAAAATAAAACCAATATGTTAAAATAATTATTGATAAATAACACAGTCTATAAAATTAAGAGATAAACAAAGAGAAAACGGAAATTTCTGCCAATTCTCGCCAAATTCAGTAAATTTCAGCAGCACTTAAACGCCTCATTGAATACAAGGGAAAATAACGAGAAATGTAAGCTTTACGATGGCATATAAATGCATCATCAGCACAGCTTGCCTAAGTCGACTGCTGAGGGGAAAATATCCACTGATTGCTTCATGTTCTGATTAGAAAGATGGAAAAAGCGGTAAAATCTTCAGGAGTGTTTTACTGGAGTTTAAATGGAGGATGAAGATGGCGTTCTTCATCTCTGCTTCTTCTTCACAGGCCAAGTTCATCACTACTGCTAACTACAAAGACGCCGTGGAGGAGCGCTTCATCGCAAAGTTCTGTGGTTATCCTGTCTGTCCCAACAAACTGGGCAAGGTGAGCCTCCTCCTGGTTTCTATGGAGGCAATTTTGTTCCATCATTATTGGAAGCAACGGAAACATTTAGTAAATGTGTGGAAAATAGGAATGAAAAAAATGGCATTCAGAAATTACATTTAAAAAAAATGATTTAATCCAAAAAAAGGAAAATGTTATTTTTCTTTTTTGTTCTTTTCCGCTTAAATTGTTTAAAACATTTTTTTTTTTACAGTTTTCATATTTTCAGGTTTTATTTTTACAAATTATATTTTTTCATTTAATTTTACAGATTTCATATTAAATTTTTTTTTTTTTTATTTTTTTTTTTTTTTTTTTTTTT